CATTAATTATGGAATTGAGTCTCTCTCGGGTATTTAAATTAAAGGAAGGCGCTGCCACATTAAAGGAAAGAACATGGTCTTGGGTATATTTAAATTAAATGAAGGCACCGCCCAATTAAAGGAAGGAACATGGGAAAAGATGGATTTCCGGAGGAGAGAATTGCACACGCTGCAAATAGAAGGATGAGGATATATGTGACGCTGGATTTCATGAGGTATTATTAAAAGGAAATACAGATTTCAGGACTACAAAATGATTTCTAGGTTCTTCAATGTCGCTATGAGATTGTTTTTTATACACTTTCCAATTTTATACATCAATTAACATGTAACAACTCCCCAGGTGCAGTATTTATATCTATCTATATATCTCTCCCTAATAATAAAATACGGATTGAGTCTTCGGGTTCACCGTCGTGGCCTTTTTTAGAAAACCCCTTTTGCTTTTTAGTATTTGAACCCGCAAACCAAAGGGGCAGATCCAATTAATATCGGCCATCAAATCATGTCAATCCAATGATCTAGACCGCTTCAATGTCAAGCGCTCAAAACGTTTAGCGTGCAGTTAATTTCATGCCAAATATAACGCTAATCACATAATAACACGCAAATAAATAATATCCCACTTAATATCCGTATGCACTTAATATACTTTCAAATTAACGTGCAGTTAATTTTATGCCAAATAGTGCTAATCATACAATAACACACAAATAATATCCTACTTAATATCCGCATGCACTTAATATATATACTTTCAAATTAATATGCATTGCACGTACACATTGACTAGTGATAAACAAATGATCTAACAATATGTTTGTTCACCCGGTGACTAGGAATCATGTCCCATGTCGGAACTAGCACGCAAAAAATCCTTACCGTCAATTCATCTGTCATTTCTTTCATCATCGAACTTATCCCCATTGGTCAGCTCACACATCTTTTTTCTTCATGGGGAGGGAGCGGGTCGAACTCCCGTTGTTTCACTCTTTTTTGCTACATGTGAGTTGACAGCTACAAAAAAAAATGTTATCGTGAGAGAAGAGGGGATAAAATATACATCACAACACTATTTGACATAATCTAAGTGTTTAAAATCAAACTCATCTGGAATATTTGAACAATAGCATTGTTTCTCAGGGATCAACGAGAATTTTGGTAATTGATCGATTCCGGAAATCCCGACATGAAAAAACCTTCATAGCGAATGTAGAAACTGATCAAAAAGCTAAATCTGCAAGGACGGCACACAGGAAAATACCACCGTATGCATATGTTCACACTCAACCGCCGGCCGGCCGGCTATCCCTCCATCTATAGTTAGCAAGCTTCCAATCTTGCTCTATACTACTGCATATCCTTTTTGAAAAACAATCTGGCTAAATCTACTACCTCGAGGAGACAGCTAGTGAGAATACTAATATGGACAATTCTCATTGGTCTTGCCAATATTGATTGTGGAAAATAATAAATACAATAGATTTTGTAGAGGCCTATATAAGGATGTCGTTACATATGCTACCTCAGACCCAACCCCAAAGGAGAGAGGTGTTGAGTATAAGGATTATTAGGAAGTATAGGATAGACTAGGATTTGTTCCTGCCTTGTCTTGTACTCCAAGTTGATCTTTGTACTCCTATATATATATGCCCATGAGGCTCAAGCAATACAACAATTATTCCATCAAACCTCTCTCTCCCTTCTAACATGGCATCAGTTTCCGGGTTCTAAACCCTAGCCGCCGCCGCTTCCGCACCCGCGCGCCGCCCCCGGGGCGGTCGGCCTCCATGACCGCCGTCGGGGGCCGCGCCGCCCGTATCTAGGGTTCGTCCGCCGGTCATGTTGACCGGCTGCCCTAGAGTCTTTTTCCCGATCCTTGATCCGGGGTTTTTCTCTCTCGCCGGTCGTTTGATCGGTGTTTTTTTTTGGTTCTCTGATCTATATATCGGGTTGAGTCGCTCGCCGCCGTTCGTCATCAACAACGCCTGACTACTACATCAACATCTTCATCGACTTGACTGGATCGGGTGTCACACGGCGCCCCGGACTACATGCCCGAGCCAGATGGGGTCGCTCACGCGGTCGTGCGTGACCCGTCGTCCTCGCCGCGTTGGTCCGTGAGTCACACGTCCTGCGCGGGCGTGGTTGGCTGCCCGATCGCCCGCCCCAGATGACCGATCCATAGCGTGACCACGTTCCGGATGCATGTACTTTGGCTACCCGTGCTAGTGGAGACTCCTCTTATGCCTTCCTGCAGTACGTGTCCAAGCCTGGTTGCAGGCTGTTGCAACGTCCGGTGTCTGACGTGTGCCGTGCCGGATTACATGAAGATCGTCGTACAGTTTGTGCGCCTATCCACCGATTGAGCACGGGCTGCAACTGCGTCGTCTATATGGACGGTTCTTCCCGCGACAGCACCGATCCACGCCGCCGCTGCGTCGCCTTTTCGGGCCGTAGCGCCACGGCACGTGGTCCCCGCCGCCGCCCTGAGACTGTTTCCGTGATTGCACCATATCGTGCGTTGCCGCTGCGTCGCCTCATCGGGCCGTAGTGCCGCGGCCCGCGGTCAACTGCCGCATCGAGGCCGTCCGCTCCAGGCCGTCCCCGAGGCTGCACCGACCCTCGCGCTGCCGCTGCGTCGCCCCGTCGGGCCGTAGCGAGCGTGGCACGCGATCCCTGCAACCGCCCTGAGGTCTTCCCCGCCGTCGCCCCAACCTGCCCGCCGCCGTTGCGTCGCCTCTTCGGGCCGTAACGCTGCGGCCCGCGGTCCACCGCCGTCCACGCGCGTTGACTTTCACGTGATATGTGCCACGTCGCCTCCCTTGGCGCGGGAACGTCACCGTCCGCACTGGTCTTCGTCATGCTGTCGGGTTCATTATCGCCTACTTCGAGCACCGCCGCCGCGGTCCTTCTCTAGCCGCCACCGCCGCCTCCTTAGGCCGCCGACGCCGCTGCTCTTCTTTCGCGGCTCCATGGCGACTACCTCGACACCGGCGAACCCCGACTCGACACCGACCACGGCGTTCTTCGCACGGCTACCTCGACTACGGCTCCACCACCCACGCTCTCGGCTACATCGACAAATGGCACAAAGGGCTCCCGCTTGCTTGAGCAACCTCGTCGGTTTCCACTCCAGTCACGACTTCCGCGATGCGTCAACCGTTGCGACTGTGGGGGGTGTCCGTCGGCTTGCCTTCGGATTCTTCTCCAGTCTCACCGTCTGCGTCGCTACCGCTGTGACTGCGGGGGGATGTTGAGTATAAGGATTGTCCAGTCTCCTGCAAACCAGAGACAAACGTGGGAGGCTTTGCGGGCGTCCGGACAACAGCCACGGCTGCTTCTGACCACTCTGACCCACCCAAAATCCTCCTCCCTCGCGCGCGCATTCCCGCTTGGCGCCCACATTCATGTCGATATAGAGCGGCCGCTTCACATTGAAGCCGACCCAGAGCGGCTGCACTCTCTCACTGGCTCCGTCATTGAGGCGGCGCACAACCGGCCCGACGGTGTCACTCGCTGCATGTCCGGCTGAACACGTCTCCTCGCCGCACTCAAACATCTCCATTAAACTTGTGCGTGTGCCAAGGAACCTACTACAGCCACATGCGTATTCAAGAGCGGGTCAACATTAACCCCAGCGTCGGGCAAGCTCCTCCCATCAGCCGGCTATTTGAAGGAGGCCAGACGCCAGGCAAGAATTGCACCACCCTGTCGCTTCCCATCTCCTTCTTTTACCATTTTCTCCAGCCTTTCGATGACATTCGACAAGCAAGAAGAGCAGTTCTCTGGGATAAAAGCCGGTTGTGTGGCCCACCGAGCCCGCCGGATACGAGCCAGACAACTCGCTGCTCCACCTCCCTCACCTAGCCCGATTGAGCAAGCTGCCGCCCGAAGCCATCACGTGGTTCAGCAACTCGCCGCTTCAAGCTAGCTCGCGGAGGTGAGTTGCTCCAGGCAGGCACGCATGGGAGCACGACGGAACCGGCATCATGGATGCCATGGACGAGGCCATCCGCCTCCAACGTTAGCGGAACCACGCCTGATCGGTGGAGAAAGACGCAGAGATCGACGAGTCGGTGGCTGGCGCGGCCGCTCCCCGCCACCGCTGGCAACATTGATGAAAAGTAGAACACAGCAAGCCGCCATCGCTTGGATCCCATGAAGGCCACAGCCGGCGTGTCGCCGGCATGCACATCCGGTAAAGATCATCGTCGACCCTCGCCATGGCTCCACGAAAACTGAGTAGGCGCCCTTCCCCTCCGGCTAAAGCACCCCCAGAAATTGTGTCTGTGTGTGTGTGAGAGAGATATTCTCCAACTCGAAGCATCAAATAAATGCTGCCCATTGCACCATTTTCTCCCAAATTAATTTCCAATGACATACCATTTGAGGAAGGACGCGTAAAAAGTAGCTGGTTGTCAAATGCTGCCAGCTTTAGCCTGTGCTGCCATAATAAAACTCCCCAATTTGACAGCTTAGTTTGGCACTCACTTACTACCCGAATCTGGAAATCAATACGAATTCAGAAACTGATGAAGCTACATCTGCATGGACAGCACACACAGGAAGAAGATTTGACCATCCACTCCAGAGTTAGCAAGCTTCCAATCTTCTCTATACGAGTACACATATCCTTTAGCTACACAAGCTTAATAGCTCTATATAAAAAGAATACTATGATTTGGGGCAATTTTATTTAGGGAACATTTGGGACAATTAATACTTGTGTTTCTCTGAAATACGTGTATATTTGGGACAATATATTTGGAGAGTGAGTAGGTGGGTGAGTGGACGCAGAAGAAATCAGTCTCTGAAGATGAGATGGATAGGTCAAATCAAGGCCGGAGACTTCCTCTTCTGTGAACTGACGCCGGTGTCTCGCCGGCCTACATAAGCCGACCTGACCAAAACACACGGGCACGCGACAAAGGTGACCGCGCCCGCGCCAACGCAGAGCTGCAGCCATCCCGCTTCCATTTCTCCAACCGAACGCCGGCATGGCCTCGAAGCTCCCCGACACGACCAAGAGCCTCGGTGCCGGCGCCATGGACGTTGACGACGGCAGCGGCGGCGGCGGCAAGAAGGTGGCTGGTAAGTGGCCGGGCTTCGTCCACTTCTTCTTCGTCCTCACCGTCGTCATGTGCGCGCTCGTCTACGCCCCGCGCTTCCTGTCGCCCGCCGTGACCGTCGACTTCTTGGGGCCGCGGCAGCCGGCATCGGGTAGAATGGCGGAAGGACAAGTACGGAGCGTGCACGGTGGCCGCGGCAATGAAGGCGACGCGCTGGTCCTCGACAACCAGGTGAACTCCCCGTGTGCGTCGATGGGCGCCCATGGCATCTGCTGCGACCGCTCGGACTACAACACCGACGTGTGCTTCATGGCCGGCGACGTGCGCACGGACGCCGCGTCCCTCTCGTTCCTGCTCTTCCCGCCGCCCAACGGCACCGCCAACGCGAACGCAAACGCTACCGTGGCGGAGAAGGAGGAGGTGGTGAAGCCCTACACGCGCAAGTGGGAGAAGGGCGTGATGGCCAACATCCAGGAGGTGCGGCTCCGCGCGGCCCGGCCGGACGAGGCGGACGCGCACCGGTGCGACGTGCGGCACGACGCGCCGGCGCTGGTGATGACGGCGGGCGGGTACACGGGGAACCTGTTCCACGCGTTCAACGACGGCTTCCTGCCGGTGTGGCTGACGGTGCAGCACCTCCGCCGCCGCGTGGTCCTCGCCGTGCTCGTGTACAACCCGTGGTGGGCCGGCACGTTCCCGGAGCTCTTGTCGGGGCTCTCGCGCCACCACGTTATCGACCTCCTGCACGACAAGCGCACGCACTGCTTCCCGGGGGCCATCGTGGGGACCCGCTTCCACGGCATCCTCGCGGTCGACCCGGCTCGGACCCGGGACAACCGGACCCTCGTCGACTTCCACGACTTCCTCGCCAGCGTATACAGGGACGACGGCGCGTCGGAAGAACTAGTGCACACCACGGCGCCGGCGCCCCAGCAGCAGCAGCAACCGAGGCGGCGGCCGAGGCTGGGGCTGTACTCGCGCAAGGGCACGCGGGTGATCGAGAACGAGGCGGCGGTGGCGCGCCTGGCGCAGTCGGTGGGGTTCGACGTGTCCATCCTGGAGACGGCGAACGGGGCGCCGCTGTCGTCGGAGTACGCGGCGGTGAGCGCGTGCGACGTGTTGGCGGGCGTGCACGGCGCGGACCTGACCAAGCTGCTCTTCCTCCGGCCGGGCCGCGCGGCGCTGCTGCAGGTGGCGCCGCTGGGCGTGCCGGCCGTGGCGCGCGGCTGCTACGAGAAGGCGACGACCATGATGGGGATGCACTACGAGCAGTACGACGCGGCGGCGAACGAGAGCTCGCTGGCCCGCAAGTACGCGGCGGACGACGTGGTGCTGCGCGACCCGGAGGCGGCGAAGCGGGAGGGCGGGTGGGACCTCATCGCGCGCGTGTACCTGGGCGGCCAGAACGTGAGCCTCGACCTGGACCGGTTCGGCGACACCCTCCGGAGGCTGCACTCTCGCGCCCTGCGGCTGCCGGTGGCAGGTCCGTAGCTGGTTGGGTGCGTGCGCGCATCGCCGTTGAATGAGCCGCCGATCGGTCGCCGACGAGCTGCTGCATGCATGCTAATCGAGAGCTGGTCCGGGGGCCGCGGCCGGCGCACATTGCGTACGTGACAGGGCGCTGGACCGCAACCATTTTGTTTTCTTTAGGGCTACAACCATTTTGTTCGACAGCACAGCACAGATCATTTTTCTTTTTCAGAAAAGACCATTCAATTTAGTTTTGGGTTCGTTTGTATTTGTGGATGTCTCGAAATAAGGACAATCTTGTGATGGCAAAGGTAACGGCATGCACCGCTAGGCTGCTAGCTGTGGTGTGGCCTGCATGGCCGCCGGCACGGTGGAGCGTGCCGCGTGCAGGTGACTGACGCCATACTACATATGGATCCAAACCAAATGTTCCATGCGTTCTGTTCTGTGTTGGGCATTCATAGGCGTACTTTTTTTTTGGAAACAGTAGGACTCTGCATATTTTTACTGATTTTCAAATAAATGGTACATGAAAATGTTCAAAGAAGAAAAAAAACTATACATGCAGAAATCAAAAGGAAAATGAGGCAAGAAAAGCAAATACAACCTGTTGGAATGTACGTGTAGTAGAAGTTGTATAGGGATAGAGTCTGTTTAAATTCTGTAATTCTGTTCTATCCTTTCTTGTGCTTCTCGATCTCCCTGTAACGATCTGGTAAATCTGATCTGATCGATCTCCTGTAAACTTGTATGCCAAGGCTTTGCCCAATATATACATGCGGCCCGAGACAAAAGGTTCTACGCTTCCCAAAACACTTTTATATGGTAACAAAGCCTCTTCCTCATCCAATCGAGAGAGATTGCATCTAGCTACCTTCACGACCGAGACTATGTCCACCACCACCGCAGCCATGACTCCAAGCACCATGGGTGCGCTCGCCAACACCCCATCCTCCACCTTTGCATCATCTTCCACCTCCACCCACAACACCACCTCCCTCGGATCGCCACCACAGGAGAAGCTTACGCGGGGCAACTTCTTGCTCTGGAAGGCCATTGTGCTCCCGCAGATCAGAGGCACCCAGATGGAGCACCACCTGGACGCGACGAGCCCGCCACCACCGGCCACCCTCACCATCACCAAGGAAGGCAAAGAAGAACAAGTCGTCAACTTTGCGAGATCCCTCTGGTATGCACAGCAGCAACAACTCCAAGGATACTTAATGGGTTCACTTTCCCGTGAGATTCTTGCTCAGGTCGCCACGCTCCAGACGCCGGCCGAGGTGTGGCGCACCATTCACGCCATGTTTGCTGCACAAAGTCAAGCCCAAGCGATAAACACTCGCATCGACCTCACCAACCTCAAGAAAGGTAACATGTCCATGGCTGATTATCTTGGTAAGATAAAAAGTCTTACTGATGAGGTCGCAAGCACGGCTGCGGCCCTCTCTGATCCGGAGATTGTCTCCAAAATCCTTGCCGGCTTGGACATGGAGTACAACCCGGTGGTTTCTGCACTTGCCGCCAGGGTGGAACCCATCACCGTCCAAGAACTCTACAACCAGCTGCTCAGTTTTGATGCCCGCCTCAACCTCCTCCATGGCGGCGACCTTCGGCAGTCCTCCGTCAACTCCGCCTCTCGTGGCCGCGGCCGTGGGCGCGGTCACCAGGGGCAGCGCGGCGGTGGGCACGGACGCGGCGCCTCTCCTGGCGATGGCGCACGCTCTGGTGGGGGCTCTGGCTTCCATGGCGGGGGCGGCTACAACAACAGCGGCAACTTCAGCAACAACAACGGCCGCCGTCCTTCTTCCCGCCCGCGCCCTCGGTGCCAGCTCTGCAAAAAGTCTGGCCACGAGGTGGTTGACTGCTGGCATCGCTACGACGAGGACTTTGTGCCCTCGGATCGCCATGTTGCTGCTGCCATGCGTGAGCAGGGTGGAGACGGCGTCCGGTACGTCGACTCCGGTGCTACGGATCATGTGACAAACGAGCTCGAGCAACTTGCTCTCCGTGAGCGCTACAATGGCGCCGATCAGATTCACACCGCTAGCGGTGGAGGTATGGATATTTGTCATATCGGTCAAAGTTCTATTAATTCCTCTACACTTAAACGCAATCTTGTTCTTAGAGATGTGCTTCATGTCCCTCAAGCTGACAAAAACCTTGCATCCATGTCTTGACTAGCCACCGACAATAATGTTTTCTTTGAAACTCACCCTCGTTATTTTTTCATCAAGGATCGGGCAACGAGGGAACTACTTCATCACGGTAGATGCGTTGGCGGGCTCTACCACATTCCATCCGGAGCACTAGGTCGCAAGCGTCGTCACGTCTACTCCGTCATCAAGCCCCCCTTGGCACGGTGGCATCAACGATTAGGGCATCCATCTTCGATCATTGTCAAACAAATAGTCAATAAAGACAAACTTTCTTTGTCTCCTAGTCCAGTTTGTGAGTCTGTCTGTGAAGCTTGTCAATGTGCCAAAAGCCATCAGCTTCCTTATCCCAAGTCAACTAGTGTGTCTCATGCTCCGTTAGAACTGATTTTCAGTGATGTATGGGTCCATGCCCGAGATTCCTTTGGTCGAAAAAATATTATGTTAGTTTCATCGATGATTATAGCAAGTTCACTTGGATTTATTTGCTTCGATACAAATCTGAGGTTTTCTCTATTTTCCAAGAATTTCAGAAACTTGTTGAGCGCCAATTTGATAGAAAAATCCTCGCTGTCCAAAGTGACTGGGGAGGGGAGTATGAGAAACTCCACTATTTTTTCCGTAGCATTGGGATTGCCCATCATGTGTATTGCCCTCATGCTCATCAACAGAATGGCTCTGCTGAGCGTAAACATCGCCACATTGTCGAAGTTGGTCTTTCTTTGTTAGCTCATGCTTCTATGCCCCTCAAGTACTGGGATGAGGCTTTCATCACTGCCACCTATCTTATCAATAGGCTCCCTAGCAAAGTTATTGGAAACACTACTCCTTTAGAGCGTCTGTATCATCAAAAACCTGATTACAACTATCTCAAGATATTTGGATGTGCTTGTTACCCAAATTTGCGTCCCTACAATCGTCATAAACTTGAGTTTAGATCCACACAGTGTGTTTTTCTTGGCTATAGTAATCTTCATAAAGGTTTTAAGTGCCTTGAGATCTCTACCGGACGCATCTATATTTCTCGTGATGTTATTTTTGATGAGACACTCTTTCCGTTTTCCAAATTGCATCCAAATGCGGGCGCCTTGCTTCGTGCAGAGATTGCCCTTCTCTCTGATCCCACAACATTACCTGATAGTGGGGGGGGGGGGAATTAAACGAACGTGATCATATGCAAAAATCCCATGAAAATTCAGATTCTGTTGATGCTATTTGTGCAAATTCACCCTGTCATTTTATGTGTGAAGAAAAAGACAGGATGGGCACGGAAGCCGCGGCAGATCTGGCTGACAGAGGGCGATCTGAGGCTGATCGCCCGCCTAGCCTGTCGCACCTGGCGGCGCGCGATCCCAGGAGGATTCTCCCGTGCGCCTGGCCTCATCTGGGCTGGTGGCCGACCACGCTGACCGGGTGGCGCCCACCGGTCCCGCGGCGTCGCCTCGCGCCAATCCCGTCGCGCCGTCACCTGCCGGGTCCCCACACGCTGACAGCCCATGTGCAGGGGGAGCGAATCGAATGACGCGGCGCCTGCATGGGTTCCCACAGCGACCGACCATGAGTGCGGTTCGGACCCCACATCGACTGGTTCTAGGCGTGGGCCCGCGGCGGCAGACTCAACGCGCGCATTCGCTGCATGCGCTGCGCAGATCCGCCTCGGATCAGGAGCCTGAGCCGGCCGGTCTGCTGCATGGATCCGCCTCGGATCACGTGACGGCTGGATCTTCTGTGGCAGCAACTTCTCATGTGCTGCCTACATCTTCTCCTCGGCAAACACGGTCTCGGTCAGGTATTGTCAAGGAAAAACAGTACAACGATGGTACAATAAGGTATGACAAAATCAAACATGCATTCCTTACCACCACCGGTGAACCACTAAATTTGGATGATGCTCTTGCTAATAAGAATTGGAAGGAAGCTATGGATAGTGAATATAATGCACTTATGAAAAATAAGACTTGGCACTTGGTTCCACCAAAGTATGGAAATAATGTTATTGATTGCAAATGGGTGTATAAGATCAAAAGAAAGTCTGATGGAAGCATAGACAGGTATAAGGCTAGACTAGTTGCCAAAGGATTTAAACAGAGGTTTGGAATTGATTATGAAGATACCTTTAGTCCTGTTATCAAGTCAACTACTATTCGCCTTGTCTTGTCTATTGCTGTTTCCAGAGGATGGAGTCTAAGACAGCTAGATGTTCAGAATGCGTTTCTTCATGGTGTTCTTGAGGAAGAAGTGTTCATGTGGCAACCACCAGGTTATGAGAATCATAGCACACCACAACATGTCTGTAAGTTGGATAAAGCTTTGTATGGTTTGAAGCAGGCCCCAAGAGCCTGGTACTCCAGACTAAGTATGCAGTTGCAACGTCTTGGGTTCATACCATCCAAGGCAGACACCTCATTGTTCTTCTTTAGCAAAGGCAATGTCACTATCTTTGTGCTGGTTTATGTTGATGATATAATTGTTGCTAGTTCAAGTTCAGATGCCACTACTTGCTTGCTTAAAGATCTGAAGCTGGAATTTGCTCTTAAGGACTTGGGTGATCTTCACTATTTCCTTGGTATAGAGGTAAAGCAAGTTAAAGATGGCATCCTTCTCTCACAAGAAAAATATACAACTAATATTCTCAGGAGAGTAGGGTTGGAAAATTGGAAGCCAGTTAACACACCAATTTCTACCTCTGAGAAGCTTTCAGTGGAAGGTGGAGAAGTTCTTGGACCAGAGGATGCAACAAACTATAGGAGAGTTGTAGGTGCCTTGCGGTATTTAACTCTCACCCGTCCTGATATATCTTATTCAGTGAACAAGGTATGTCAATATTTACATGCACCTAGGACTACTCACTGGACTACAGTCAAA